GCAGGGACAGATACTAATAAAATGTGTCCGCCCGTAAATATAAATTAACGTGTTTTTTTGTTTTAAAGATATTTTAAAAGTTATTTTGGGTTGCTAGTTTTGAAATGAAATCCCTGTATATTGGACCTTTACTTTTAATAACATTGCCAAACCGCAATTGAAAGTTTCAAAATGACATTTTAGCACCTCCGCTTATTGTGTGATACAATTTTGTGCGTTAAATGACATCTAGTCACTTTACACATGCTTTAATACTTTGTGATCTCTGTTTTTGGATACTCTCGACAGTAATTTTTATATAATTGCATTTCGATTAATGCAATTCCATTTTTTATTTTTTTTTTAATTTCCCGATTGGTATGTGCCAAAAGGAAGTTGTAGAAAACGACCAGTTGTCTTTTTTAAGGATGTAAAACTGTGTGCTCAAAATTTCTTACAAGTAGTAACAAAGTTCCGTATTCAATGTTTTTTTTTTTCCTATTATTTAAAAACAATTGTAAGTATTTTTAAATACCAGGAAAAATATGAATGACCGTTTAAGTTGGCATTTTTTTACTATGATCTGCATTTCATTATAAAATTAAATTCACTTTATAATTTTACAATTTTCAAAATTAAAAATAGCGCCCTCTATGAGGTTAGGTGATCTTTAGGCTCAAATTATGATTTTAAGTCATCTACTTAATAATATATTGTTTTTTTAAAATTAACGCAAGTATTTTGTACTAAATGTGGCTACATGGCACATATATTCATTGATTTTATAGGGCTCTCAAATCTTTCAGTTTATCCCTTTCCATACATCACATGTCTCTTCATTCTCCTGATCTGTAACTGGACCATATCGACAATTACTATTTTGTCGTATCGAATATTATTTTTTTATCGATTATACATCCTATTATCTCTGCCTCTAACATACTACACAAGACCATGATTGTACAATTTACTAATTTTCCCCGTGTGAAACAAACCCCTGAAATTTTTGTATATTACTTATCATCGTGAAGATAATAATGTAACCCATAAAGCAATTTGTTAGGATTTTGAGTATCAGCAGCAGTGTTGCCAGAATATATTTTTATGTACCAGATCTGTCTAAAAAAATGTACTAGATTCTGTAAAATGTATCAAATTTTCCAATGAATTGTGATGTGGTTTGGTTTATTAAGGAAATAATGGGTTTTTAGTGAACGAAACCAAAGCAAGAGCCCAACAATATATTTTACAGGCGTCAAATGATAACACGCTGAAAAAAGATACTAGATTTTACTTCAAGTGTACCAGATTCTTAAAAAATGTACTAGATGTAAGTAGAATTGTACTAGACTGGCAAAACTGGTATGTAGATGTAAAACAAGTCCTAAGATCATTAAAATACTTTGAATTCAGGCTAGTAGTTATTTTTTTATGAAGATACTTAGTAAATTGTTTTATCAGTTAAAATTAAACATTGTATACTGAAACTAAGTTACTAAATGAACTCAAATCATGCGCAACGTATTTTGATACATACATTTTTTAGTCATTAAGTGCTATAATACTATTTTATACAGTGGGACAAAAACTCCCTTTTATAGTAAATCTCATACTAAGGATTTTTTTACATTTAGGTAATACTTACGTAATAGAACAGTAATTTTGACCCACAGTATATATTTATAATTTTTATTTATATTTGTAAGTGTAATTTTACTTTTTATTAATGTTGTGAATGTAGATGGTAATTTGATATTAATACAAATTAATAAATTATTTCTACTCTTTTAAATGTCTTTTATTCTTGCAGTTTTAAGAAATACGTATCATTAGACCTCTTGTTTGATTGTTCGAAAGACTTCCTTTCGATTTTTTTGAAAAAATAAAAACTGTTTAAATTTGCATACGGATAGAGGGTAACATGTAGATCTCAAAAATACACTCAGTTTTTTTCTAACAGCAATATTAAAAAAGTCGTGGCAAAAATAAAAATTTTCGATATCTCCTCGCGTTTCTATTATCCTGATACAAAGTTCCGAATTCGAAAAGATCCAATTTTGTCTACAAAATTTTGGTATCAGGATAGCAGAAACGCGACAAGGTATTTGACTTATTTTTAAATGTGAATAACTACTAAACGGCTCAAGATAGAGGCAATCGGCGAAGGGCATTTTAAACTATCCATCCGGCTCTACCTTCATGTGAATTTATGGAATAATTCGATCATTATTGACTGAGGAATTAGGAAATAAAAGTTAACCCTTATAGCTAGGGAGCAACTGAGTTCACCCCTTAATTGCCCGTGCTTTCTTTTATATGTACCCCAATTTTCATCAGGATCAGAGACTAAAAAATTTTTTTGTCAAAAAATTTGGAAGGCTATACCCTTTCGATTTTTTTGAAAAAATAAAATACTGTTTAAATTTGCATACGGATAGAGGGTCACATGTAGATCTCAAAAATACACTCCTTTTTTTACTAAGAACAATATTAAAAAAGTTGTGGCAAAAATAAAAATTTTCGATATCTCCTCGCGTTTCTATTATCCTGATACAAAGTTCCGAATTCGAAAAGATCCAATTTTGTCTACAAAATTTTGGTAATAGGATAGCAGAAACGCGACAAGGTATTTGACTTATTTTTAAATGTGAATAACTACTAAACGGCTCAAGATAGAGGCAATCGGCGAAGGGCATTTTAAACTATCCATCCGGCTCTACCTTCATTAGAATTTATGGAATAATTCGATCATTATTGACTGAGGAATTAGGAAAAAAAAGTTAACCCTTATAGCTAGGGAGCAACTGAGTTCACCCCTTAATTGCCCGTGCTTTCTTTTATATGTACCCCAATTTTCATCAGGATCAGAGACAAAAAAATTTGGAAGGCTATACCCTTTCGATTTTTTTGAAAAAATAAAAAACTATTTAAATTTGCATACGGATAGAGGGTAACATGTAAATCTCAAAAATACACTCAGTTTTTTTCTAACAGCAATATTAAAAAAGTCGTGGCAAAAATAAAAATTTTCGATATCTCCTCGCGTTTCTATTATCCTGATACAAAGTTCCGAATTCGAAAAGATCCAATTTTATCTACAAAATTTTGGTAATAGGATAGCAGAAACGCGACAAGGTATTTGACTTATTTTTAAATGTGAATAACTACTAAACGGCTCAAGATAGAGGCAATCGGCGAAGGGCATTTTAAACTATCCATCCGGCTCTACCTTCATTAGAATTTATGGATCGATCATTATTGACTGAGGAATTAGGAAAAAAAAGTTAACCCTTATAGCTAGGGAGCAACTGAGTTCACCCCTTAATTGCTCGTGCTTTCTTTTATATGTACCCCAATTTTCATCAGGATCAGAGACAAAAAATTTTGTATATTACTTATCATCCTGAAGATAATAATGTAACCCATAAAGCAATTTGCTAGGATTTTGAGTATCAGCAGCAGTGTTGCCAGAATATATTTTTATGTACCAGATTTGTCTAAAAAAATGTACTAGATTCTGTAAAATGTATCAAATTTTCCAATGAATTGTGATGTGGTTTGGTTTATTAAGGAAATAATGGGTTTTTAGTGAACGAAACCAAAGCAAGAGCCCAACAATATATTTTACAGGCGTCAAATGATAACACGCTGAAAAAAGATACTAGATTTTACTTCAAGTGTACCAGATTCTTAAAAAATGTACTAGATGTAAGTAGAATTGTACTAGACTGGCAAAACTGGTATGTAGATGTAAAACCAGTCCTAAGATCATTAAAATACTTTGAATTCAGGCTAGTAGTTATTTTTTTATGAAGATACTTAGTAAATTGTTTTATCAGTTAAAATTAAACATTGTATACTGAAACTAAGTTACTAAATGAACTCAAATCATGCGCAACGTATTTTGATACATACATTTTTTAGTCATTAAGTTATATAATACTATTTTATACAGTGGGACAAAAACTCCCTTTTATAGTAAATCTCATACTAAGGATTTTTTTTACATTTAGGTAATACTTACGTAATAGAACAGTAATTTTGACCCACAGTATATATTTATAATTTTTATTTATATTTGTAAGTGTAATTTTACTTTTTATTAATGTTGTGAATGTAGATGGTAATTTGATATTAATACAAATTAATACATTATTTCTACTCTTTTAAATGTCTTTTATTCTCGCAGTTTTAAGAAATACGTATCATTAGACCTCTTGTTTGATTGTTCGAAAGACTTCCCCTAATTTATTGATAAAGATGGGAGGAATAATGTCAAGACCTGGTACTTTTTGACTTTTCTATCTATTTACAGATAAGGAAAGTTTAGGAATCATGATTTTTACGACGTATATTTACGTTTGGGAGTCCTCTGATCCGGTTCTTCTATACTTATGGAAGATATATATCGGTGAGATGGAGTCCATGTTAGCTTGAAGCAGTGGTAGCGTGTCGAGCGACTCCTGCCAAAAGCGACGTCTCGCTTCACCAGATCCTACATCAGGTTCTATTTCAAGCGTGCGGAGACGTGTCATTGTCGTCAAAGCAACCTCCTTGATGTAAATATCAAAGGTGAGACTGAGAATGACTTCCATGGCCCTGGTCGGTGTTGTTTTCATGGTTCCTGTTATGTTGAGACATGCTGTTCTTTAAATTTGTTCTAGTTTACGGATAGCTGTTAATTTTTGTGTTTTCGGTACCCAGACAACTGCACCGTGTGTTAGCATAGGTCTTATGGTTTTTACTAATTCATGCTAGGTTGTCTGTAAGACAAGATAATAGGATTTTTAGATTGAATTTTAAGAGAAAAAGGTTTGTGTGTGTCTGATACCATTTTGACGCTTTCTTTTTGACGCCCTGTCAGCTTGGAACTGATTTTTTTTCAAAATCTGTTATTTTTATGTATGTGAAGATAATGAGGAATGTAATACACAAAAATAGTCACCTTGCATTGAACGCATTAAAAGTTACCTAATTAATTATAAAGGTTGAGTTGAAGTGAGTGGATAATAAAAAAAACATCTAAACTAATAAAAACTATGTATTTTATAAAAATTTCTTTTTGTTTTTATTTGCTTTCTTCTTCGTCGTCGTCACATCTGGAAATTCGACTTCCTCGTTGTTTTCATGCATCCGTTTTTCCCCACTGCAACATTAAAAAAAAATAGTAAATAATAAAGTAAAGACGAAATTTTTACCTATTTTATATGAGTTTCTGGAATTTTAAAGGTTTCATGTCATTCAGTATCTGAAATACTTTTAATAAATTTATAAAAATTACATTCATATTAATAGTAGAGAGAAGACCATGGGAGGTCGACCTTCACCCATCTGATAACCAGATGAGACATATTTTTTATGAAATTTGCACCGGCCACTTGTCGAGATTATTAATTTTGCTTAGTTGGAACTTGAAACAACTATCATTTTACTTTAAATTATTTATTATTTTATTTAAAGAAGGAATGCAATCTTACAAGTACACAGTACGTGTGACACTTAAAACAATAATTTCTAATAAAACAAAATGGCTAACTCAAAGATCACAATCAATAACAGTTAATCTCTCCTTGAAGCTCGGAAGCTGAGAGCCGACTGACTTCTTTCCTGCCCTCCCTCTTCGTCCGGTATTGCACAATATTCGCATGCACCGCACCTGACGACGAAATATACGGGGTACCAGTGCAAATTTTATCGATTTATTAACACTCCTATGGGAACTTACTATTCGAAAAGTGTTCATGACTATTTTTAATTAAATAAATTTTATTTAATTTTTTTTTATAACCTTCACTTTTTTAATAATTGAACAAATTTAATTTTAACAGACAGTTTTTAACATGCAAAATATGCCTCAGTACGCAGGTATGAACAGATAAGTCAACAAATAAAAGTTGATATCAGAATAAAGATAATTTAATTATGAAAATAATCGTATAGGCTTGCCTGCAAAAAACTGTTCATGGAATACAAATGCGTTGCTTTAAAGTTTTAATTGCTCAATAAAATTTCATCTAGTTATTAAATCGACTTCCCACAGTCTCTTAGATAGATTTAATTACCTTTTAACTGTGACAATACTCTTCTTTCCTTTCCCGGTCAGCACCTTCTCCCATTCATCCTCACCCCCTTTAATCGCGAACTGCTCCAGATTTTCATTCTTCAGCTTCTGCAATTCTTTCTTCTGCTTCTTTTTCAATTCTTTGGCAGCCTCTTCGAGTTCATCTTGCATAGACTTCGCTACCGGCGTCATATTTAAGTCGTCGGCGTCTTTTCTGGGTAGAAGCGTTTTTTCTATGTCGTCTTCGAGAGCGGAGTTAAGATATTGACTGCATCTTCGCATCAAACGATTGAATAGGCCAAGAAGCTGGGTCGCTGGTAGGTCCAATTCTAATGCTAGAGCGTCCACTGTTTTATGTTGAAGTCCCAGACCCAACAGTATAGCCTGGAAAATTATTTAATAGAATATATTACGGCAATGATAGAAAGAGTAATAATGAAACAATTTAAACAATAGAAAATATAACAAAACAAATAAAATTAAGTCAAACGACAAAAATAATAAGTTAAATGCTTGGTGAGACAAAAGACTAAGAATAAAATAATACGCCAGTTATGGTTGCAGTACAGCGAACCCAGCAAGCTTGCATTCTCACGTCCATTCGACCTTTTCTATCTTTTATGTAAAAAGTTCAGATTTAATTTAGATTTCATTGCAGTAACAACTAATAAAATTAATGTTTTCTGAATTTGTTTTTTTAAAAAGTTATTTTAGACTTAATCACATTTATTTAGCCTAATGGCTTGGAGAGCTAAATGCTTAGTGAGTTAAATTATCGGCAAGTCAAAAGACTTGGTGAGCTTAATGCTCAAATATGAAACAAAGACAATCGAGTTAAACAACTCAAAATAAATTGTATAGAGACTTATATTAATTTTTTGTGCACAAAATTGTGTGTATTAAATAAAAAATATTTCTGAAATGTGTAGTTTGATTACATATTTAAAAAAATGGTCAAATTAACAAGAAAAATTCAACAATTTAAAATAAAAAATAGTAAAACCGAAAGAAACTTAAAATTATATCATTTTTCTTTGGGGGTTGAATGTTATAGAACTTCTATTAAAGTACATAATAAGGTACTTACTGATTGAACTGCAGACATCTGTGTTTCCCCCATTTGATTGAGGAAATAAAGTTTTGCTAGTGTCGGCATCAAATCCATAATAAGATGATAATCTACTAAATTGTTACTGTACATCTCCAGCCTTTTCAAATCGTATTTCATAAAATGCATTTCTAATTCAGCTTTAGTCAAGTCTAGAATAAAAAAAGGACCAAATTTAAGATTTAATCCAACTTGCGATGAAGTGAATAAATGTTGGGTATAGTCGGAACATCTGGGAGAATACTTTATAGATGGTCAGTATTAGTGCAATTCTTTAAAATAAGGTAATCGGGTACACGAAATCATTTTTTGACGAATTTTTTGGTGGAGAACTTTTTTATTTCGAGAAAACAAAAAAAAATCGATTTTTTCAATATTTCGGAAAATAATCGTGAAAATAATGGCGATTTGAACAATACTCCACTTAAATCCAAAAAAAATTGTTAATTTGTTAAAATAACAGCAAACTCAAACTTGTTATTGTTATTTTTGTTTGGAGAAGAAAATTCGTCAAATAAAGTTACTTATAATGTTATTCTCTATAATTTTTGTTCTATACATAATTTTCCTAAAATGGTCCGTATTTGAGAAAATTGACAAAAAGTGCAAAATTCGAATTTTAAAAAAAAATGTTCAAATAAAAGTTGTTTGTTATATTATTCTCTATAATTCTTGTTCTATGCATAATTTCTCTTAAATGGACCGTATTGGAGATATTTGAGAAAACGTGCAAATTTTGAATTTTGAAGATAACTTAAAAACGGATAGAAAGGAAAATTCCCAATTCTAAATTTAAGCTTTAACCCATCCTTTGGTGAACTAATTAAATTTTAGACATAGTCGGAACATCTGGGGGATACTTTATATATAGTCGTTTTTCTACTTTATGGAATATGTCTATTATTTACACTTGTAAAAGAAAATTCTTTAAATAAAAGTAATTTGTAATGTTATTCTCTATAATTTTTGTCCTATACATAATTTCTCTAAAATGGACCGCATTCGAGATATTTAAGAAAATGTGTAAAGTTCGAATTTAAAAGATACATAACTCAAAAACGGATAAAGAGAAAAACGCCAAATTTTAAACTTAAGCTTTAATCCACCTTGCGTTGAACTAATTAAATTTTAGACATAGTCGGAACATCTTGGGGAGTACTTTACTAAAGGTCGTTTTCCTACTTTATGTGGAATATATCTGTTATTTACGCTTGGAGAAGAAAATTCTTTAAATAAAAGTTATTTGTAATAATATTCTCTATAATTTTTGTTCTATACATAATTTCTCTAAAATGGACCGTATTCAAGATATTTAAGAAAATATGCAAATTTCGAATTTTAAAAATACACAACTCTAAAACGGATAATCAGAAAATCTCAAAATTTTAAACTTAAGCTTTAATCCATCCTGTGATAAATTAACTAAATTTTGGACATAGTCGGAACATTTGGGGGAGTACTTTATACATAGTCGTTTTTCTACTTTATGGAATAAATCTGTTATTTACGTTTGGAAAAGAAAATTCTTTAAATAAAAGTTACTAACAATATTATTATATATAATTTTGATTCTATACAAAATTTTCCTAAAATGGTCCGTGTTCAAGAAATTTAACAAAAACTACAAAATTCGAATTTTTAAAAAATTGTTTGCTATATCTTACCTTTACTTTTGAGTTTCACAATTTTATTCGACAGTATTCCCAAGGCTAAACTAGGCGAAAATTTGTTGAATTGATACGACAACAAATTGACGAATCGTCTTCTGAAATCCGTCCAGTAAGCAGCTATCCAATCGTCAGATTTGATTACGTCGCTGTTTAATACGTTCAACATGATGCAAGAGTGTTCGCCAGTCAAATCGTTCGTAGTTTGACGCAGATAAACCGGCACGTAACTGGAAAACAAAGAGAAATTAGTAGATTGAGAGGATTGATGATGCAGGAACAAAAAAAAAACACTTGTATAAAGCTGATCAAATCAAATTAAAATAAGAAAATATAAACAAAAAAAGAATCTTAAAGGAATCAATATAAACAATAAAAATAAAAATTTTATCATAAAGAAGAAAATGTTAATATAAAATCATTACCGTGAACTCATACTATCATAATCAAAATTGATAAACCTAAAACTCCCTATTTTTTAAAATTGATGGGAATTTACTATTAAAAAAAAAACAATTCAAAATAAGCTATAATTATGTCTTAACCAAAGATATAATAACAACCAATTCTTGATTATTTCGGCCTTGACACAGCTCTACAAAAAAAATACTTGTTGCCCTGTATATCTTTGCAAATTTTTATGTTTTCAAGTGTTTGTCACGAAGAAAGTGTAAATATAGTACTGATTCAGGAAACTTATGCTAAATATTTCGGTTTTAAAATGGACAAACTAGATAAGTCATAGGTTTCTCATAAAGTTTTAAGTTCTGTGTTGTCTTTACGGCTGTGGAAAAAAGGAAAACGTTCCGGATTATTCCTTGGTATTTCACTGTAACGTTTGTGGGAAACAACTGGATTTACAAAACAGAGGCAGAGATATTTATAAAAACAAATTGTATGTTCATTTAAAATAAAAAAACACCTACCAATTATCACAATGAAAACACTAAAAAAAACTAATAATATTTCATTAAAAACATTTAATTCTTATAGTTGCATTACAAAAATGAAAAAATATTAAAGGTACATTTAAAATAATTCAACTGCTGTACTCATTGGCCTCACGGACGGCATCCCTTCAAACTTCAACCACATTTATACAGCACGAAAGCCAGCTCGCCGATGAAGAAGTAAATGAAAGTTGTCGTCTCGTGCGATACGTACGATCCATAATTCTTACCGACGAAACAATGCCAACTAGGACAAAACCTTTTATCGTAATCCTTTTTTATATAAGACGCTATATCCTTCTCGACCGTATACATCGCTAGAGCGCACTGAGCGGTACACGTGGCGTCTCTCTGCATTTCCTCCGTCATATCTGTTACTTTGATGCAAGCAGGACACAGAAGACATGGACCGGGATTCGTTCCGTCTTTACAGGGCACACCGCAAGGGGAACACGATGGACAGGGACCGCACGGACCGCAGGGGCCGCACGGAACGCAAGGACCGCATCCCGCGCACGGACCTACCTGTCCTTTTGGACCGCAAGGGCCACAAGGACCGCAGCATGACGGACAAGGAGCGCAAGGTCCGCAACAAGGAGGTCCGCAACACGGAGGTCCGCAAGGAGGACACGGGCTGCACATGTTTTAATGATTTGATTCTTATTAACGTTGCACTAAAATTTTGAGAGATTTTGAAACGAAAATTTGACAATGACAATTATTGTTAATATGTTTGACAAGTCGCAGTGGCGTGGGTAGATATGTAAACACGTAGGTTTTTTCTAGTTAATTATTGTTGCAATTAAGGTTTCAGGATTCAAATTTATGTCTGTTAAACCGAAATAGTAAGTTTAAGTAAAATAATTAAAAAAATAGTACACAAACATTTTTTCTAACTTTAAAAAAGTCATAGAGAAAATCTCTAACAAAAAATGTCAGTTTTGTCCTATGAGTGACTCTGAAGTGGAAGAATGCAAAAGGTGTTTAAATATTCTATTCACAATGAGCACAGTGGATAATAGATTTTGGGATAGTTATAAAAAGGTAAAGAAAGAGTATAACAAGAAACTATTAACTAAAAAAAGAAATCATTTGGAAAACAAATATCTGACTCGGACAATAAAGCTAAAACAACATGGCAAATAGTGAGTAATATAAATGGCAAAAATAACCAACATACTATACAAATACCGGGGGAGGCGTCAACAGTAGCAAACAATTTTATGACTTTCCTTGAAAAGTCAATAACAGATGTAATATCTGGCCTAAGTAATAGTAATTATGTAAGTACAATATCTAGTAAATTAAAGTCTATATATGTAATACTGTTACGAATTAATTAATATAACACCCTGTGAATAAGTATGTTATGATTTGTGAAGTTTTGTCCAAGGGCAGGCGCGCTAAACAAATATTCAGTAAAATAATAAAACATATAGTTGGACAAGGTTTTATTAAATCATAATATTAAAGTACAGGGTCAAAAAAAGATCAACAAGAGCACTCTTGAAACATTACAAGTGATAATTAGGGGAGTTCCTTTTGGTCTTTGTTGACGAGCGGTCGAAATTATTCGAATTAAGTGGATTCCTTTTTTGTGTCCGAAAGTAGAGTCACGGGTCGCGGTTAGTTTTTTTTTTTTAGTAAAACCATAGAGATAAAAGTAACATGTGCTTCAGCCAGCCCTGCAGCCCAACAGATAGAATATAATGATTACGTAAGTAAATAATTTTAAGTAGTTATATTTAGTTTTTGTGTAGTCAGTAAAGACTTGTGGAAGCAATATTAGTTGTTTTTATTTGTTAAATAAATCACAGTTATTTGTTTTACGCTTGTTTCAATTTTTTTTTTGTTTATGAAAACTTACGATCATTCAAAGGCGGGAGTATTGGCTTAATCCGATCTCTGAGAGAGAGATACTGCCAAAGGGAATAGTTCCTGTAGGGTAAACCTTTTCCCTGTCCTCTGAATCATCATCAGGAAGTCAGGGTTCCTTCTGAACTTAACCCCCTAGCCGTGTGTTGTCTAGAGGCCAATTTAAATACAAATTGGACCCCTCCATATAACTTGTGGTTACCGCTAAGAGTGGACTTAAGGGTCAATCAAAAAGACCTATAATCTCACTCTTAACATATGGTGAAGGTGCCAAAGATCGTTTAGAAGAGGGGAAATTGAGGTGTCTCAACTTTTTCTTACACTTTAATATCGTGATATATACACTATTTTTTATTCTGCTAGAAGGAAAACCTCCTAAAAAAATCAAATCAAATAAAAATAAATTATTGTATTTTAAACTGGTTAAATTTATTTAAAAATCGCGATCACAGCGAGGTTGAGCTCCATATCCATTATGACTTAAATTTTTTGAACACAAGTGAGTTAAAGTGACCCTAAAATAATATTTTGAGTGTCAGTGATGTAAAAACGCTTTTACACAATTCTTTTTGAGTTTTTATGTTTTCAGATAGTTTTGGATGTTTGAAGAAACTTTTTTGATATATTTCTATATCCTACTATTTTAATTTTTATATAAAGTTTTTATATTTTATAAATATACATGTTTACTTACCCTGCCTTTTTCCAAAACCTTAAAAGCTGTTCAGTAAGTCCAAAAGATACCCCAATATAATGCAACTTTTCTGGTGGCCTTTCGCTCAATTTGAGTAAAAGTGGTGGCAATGCATTCCTGGGCTCTATACTTTCTTTCAACAAACCAACTGTCGAATCGTCTACATGGTCAATTTCTTGTTTTGGTAATTGGGCATCTTCTTCTAAACTGGGAATTTTAAATTCGTAGTACTGTTTGAGTATGAATAGAGCCCTAGCACCGTATCCCATCTAAAACATGTCCACACTTTCGTCAAATAAACTATTTTGAGTAAATTATATCCTTACCCCTTGATAATCAGGATGTGTAGCTATCCTCACTATCCTAGCCCCAGCTAATTTAGGAAAATCGGCATCTTGGTATTGTTGCCCTACAGTCCAGGGAATTAAATCACCAGCGGCTCTTTTTCCTCTTGAAAACCCTTCGTTTACAGAACTTTTCGAAATTTCACCTTCAAGACACACCTGAACAATCACCAGAACTTCCGGTAAAGTTCGTTTTTTAGGATCCACAGGACCCAATAAACAAAATAGATGATGCGCCGGTGCGTCTGACATCATTTGAAGATCGTTTGGTGTGTTCTATGAACAAAAAAGTAAGTATAACATATTTGGACTTTATTATAAACAGCTTCACTTACTTTATAATGTGAAGCTACGTATAATGACACCAATCGCTGCAAAAATTCTTCAGATGCTTTGTGATAACAAAACAGCGTATCTCTGTTTATGTAATATAAATCACAATTATCTGGTGGTGGACATCCGGATAAAATTGGAGATACAGATATAGAATCAAGGCAAAGCAGTTGTACAAGCCATGTTTCCACATCATCACCTTGTTTGTACCGAATTGATTCATTTAATACTACCTAAAATGTACAATAACAGAAGTAAATACATTTCACACATCCTGAAGAACACTATATTAAGTCATACTTTGTAATAAACTGCTGGCCACTCGAACTTACACATAGAGATTTCTAAGCAAAATTTAAAGTTTAATATTTTCAACAGGATTGCAAATTTTTGAACGCAACTTGCAGATTTTAAGAGCTAGTTTTTTTCGGATTAAGCTGCATGACGTATATTTATCGTAAGACTATAGGTTTATTATATACGGGGTGATTAATGAAGTGATGCAAAAAATCTATGTGTAAGTTCAAGAAGCCAGCAGTATATTTTGCATTATTTAGAAAGCTTTGTACTTTAGAGAACTAAATAGAGCAAAAAATTTAAAATTATGACTTAATACAGTTCTCTTCGGGATGTGCAATTTACAACTTACAAAAAAAAAGGTTTTAATACAAAATAATTGATAAATTCAGCATTATGCTAAATATTCACCTCATGTAACGTTCGTCCAGTTGCAGCACCGGAATCCTTTTTATTCACAGCATTAGTATTCGCCCCGATGGGTGCTGCTTGAACCCTCAGTTGATTTAAAAGTTTTAGAGACAAGGATCTGCCTGTACCTTCGTACCCATTGATGGTTGATGCTAAAAACACCAAGTAGGGACCCAGCATTGTTTTTACAAATGGCAGAGGGATAGCTGCAGCTTCGTCAATAATTAACAGCTCTGCTTGGGTAAGTCTGTGACTGTCTGTTGGGTGGATGTACTAAGAAAAAAAAAACTCCACTATATTGTTGTTATTACTAAATTTAACTTTGTTGGTTTAACAGCACAAAAACCATATATTGTTTTTGAATTATGATGGCAGGGCAATCATAAGTAAGGCAATCAGTTATAATGTTTTCAAATAATTTAGGTATTGAGAATTGAAATGGGGATTTCTATATTGAGATGACATAATTTATTTATTTATTTGTTTACAGTTCACTACAGATACATAAAGTTCTAAATGGTACATTTCAAATATCAATTAAAATAAAAATAAAAAAAGAAATTAATAAAAATGAAGTCAATAGTGTAATGAAAGTTGACTCTTTAAAGAAGACAAACCTGTAATAAAAATGTCATAATTTGACAAATACTTATTGTAATTGAACATCAGTTGGTCTACAAATAAGAAAGTTTTAAATAATTGAGAAAATCTCCTGTGTTGATTGATTTATTGAAAATATGAAAGAGAGGGACAAAAAATGTTTTCATCTTATTTTCACTTAAGATAAGTGAATTGGGGGAAGCAAGCCCAGAATTTACCCTCAGGTTGTGCCACTGTATATAATCTACTCTTGATCTACAAAAATCATAGAGTATATTATAAAATCTTTCAAATTCAAATAAAACTTACAGCGTTGCCAATTTAATATAATTTTTATTAATTCTAGACTTTAAGTCAATTTTACAATAATTAAACTGTGTGTTTTTGCATTTTTCCTTTTATATGATGATAAGGGATGAATTACAGTGAAATATATAAATTTCTACTAGAAAATTACCTTATCAATGATCTTAAAATATTACTACTCATTTGCAAATAAGGAAAGTATAGGAATCATGATTTTTTTTCAACATCGAATTTTTGATGGATTTTTATGTTTTGGGATCTCTTGAAACTATTTGACTATTTTCACAATGATGTATGTGTGTGTGTTTGTATACTCGTTTTAATTCATGAACAAATACAGCCATGAGCTGATTAGATTTTGGGCATAGTCGGAACATCTGTAGGGGTACTTTATAGAGGGTTATTTTTCTACATTATGGAATATATCTATTATTTACGTTTTGAGAAGAAAATTCTTTAAATAAAAGTTACTTGTAATATTATTCTCTATAATTTTTGTTCTATACAAAATTTTCCTAAAATGGACCGTATTCGAGAAATTTGATGAAAAATGCAAAATTCGAATTTTTAAAAAAATTGTTCAAATAAAAGTTGTTTGTAATGTCATTCTCTATAATTCTTGTAATATACATAATTTCTTTAAAATGGACCGAATTCGAGATATTTGAGAAAGAGTGCAAATTCCGAAATTTGAAAATAACCCAAATATGGATGAAAAGAAAATAACCAAATTTTTAATTAAAGCTTTAATCCATCCTGCGATAAACTGATTAAATTTTGGGCATAGTCGGAACATCTGAAGGGGTACTTTATACAGGGTCGTTTTTCTACTTTATGGAATATATCCGTTATTTATGCTTAGAGAAAAAATTTCTTCAAATAAAAGTTATTTCTAATATTATTCTCTATAATTTTTGTTATATTTAAAATTTTCCTAAAATGGTCCGTATTCGAGAAATTTGACAAAATGTTCAAAATTTGAATTTTTAAAAAATTGTTTAAATAAAAGTTGTTTGTAATGTCATTCTCTATAATTCTTGTAATATACATATTTTTTTCTAAAATGGACCGTATTCTAAATATTTGAGAAAAAGTGCAAATTTCGAATTTTGAAAATAAACCAAAAATAGATCAAAAGAAAATAACCAAATTTTAAATTTGAGCTATAATCAACACCGCGATAAATTGATTATATTTTGAGCATAGTCGGAACATCTGGGGGGGTACTATATAGGGGTCGTTTTTCTACTTTATGGAATATATCTGTTATTTATGCTTGGAGAAGAAATTTCTTCAAATAAAAGTCATTTGTAATATGATTCTCTATAATTTTTGTTGTATACAAAATTTTCCTAAAATGGTCCGTATTCGAGAAATTTTACAAAAACTGCAAAATTCGATTTTTTTTAAAAATTATTTAAACAAAAGTTGTTTGTAATGTGATTCTCTATAATTCTTGTCCTATACATAATTTCTCCTAAATGAACCGTATTCTAAATATTTGAGAAAAAGTGCAAATTTCGAATTTTAAAAATAACACAAAAACAGATCGAGTTTTTCTCATTAAATTTGAATTGAAAAACTAAGACAGTATCGTCAGCAAAGGAAATTATTGTTCTCTCACTATCCACTCCCAGGAGTGTATTTAGGTACATGACAAACAAAATTAGTCCCAAGACCGTTCCCTGAGATACTCCAGTCCCTATTTCATGTCTTTCAGTGTATGCGCCATTTAGTTTAACAAGTTGATATCTGTTCTTTAAATAGTTCTCAAATACCTTTAACACAGCCCCCTGACCCTATAATGCTCAAGAGAATTTAGTAGCCTGTTGTGTGGAACTGTGTCAAAGGCCTTAGCCAGATCAATTAATAATCCTGCATATTTCCTACCAGTGTTAAGTAGGAAATAGAAATGTTTTTTCAAATTAAATTTTAGAATGAAATAAAAATAAAGAAACAACTAAAGTACATATTAATATTATAAAAACTACTTTGTTTGCATAAATTATATTTCAGAAGGTTAGACAAATTTTTTATAATGTTTTCTATCTTCATATATTTTTAATTTTTCTTCCTGTAAAATAAAGTACAATTTATTATTTTAAAATAAACATACCTGGATTGTTTGTCGATGATCCCTGAATATATTCACCCTCACAATGGCTTTATTAAATTCAGGATTAGTGCTCTGAACAAGGCCATAATCAATGTGTTCCTGATACTCCAAAGCGTCAAAACCTTTAAAAACAAATTCAAAAAATGTAGTCAAATTTTCAGGACTTGGACTGGTAACAAATACATTGGAATATCCAAAAGCAATTGCAGCTGAAACTGCTAAACCTAGTGCAGCTGACTTTCCTCTACCTCTAGAAGCTGTAAGGGATACTGTTGATCTTAGTGACTTCTCAGAAATGGCTTCTACAAATTTCAATAGAGCTCTAGCTTGGTCTAGAGTTTTACAAAGGTTAACCAACTGCCCTACAGGCTGTGTGTCTCTTAATTGATCTTTTAAGTCATTTAGTTCCTTGGAATTTTCATCACTTTCTTGTACACTTTCTACAGGTGTTACCTGTAAATTATGTGAAGATATTGGTAGGACTGAGAGTTGATCATCTACTACTAGACACCTTTTACAGGAAGCTAGTGACAATAGAAACCTTTCATTAAAACGACAAACTACATTTTGATGTGCTTCTGTTCTAAATCTTTGATGTACATCCATACTCATAGTGTATAGTTGCTTAAGAGAAGCCACTGATCTAAGTAACAGAACTACCAAACCACCTCCTTCCACAGTTTCAATTGTTCTAGCTAGTAAGTTTGGAGTTAGAGCCTCGAAATCCTGAAGAACACACATACCATAAGTGTTTCCGAGAATTTTATGCGTTTCGGAATAATAACAGAATCTTATTTTAGTAGAAGCTAAAAATAATTCAAAAGGATCGTCTTCGTTAACACTTAGTTTTCCTGCTTGAAGTTTGTGTTGGATATGTTTCATTCTTTTCTTTCTGTGACTACTGAATCCCAATTCTTTTTTGTAACACCACAAAACTGAAGGTCTGGCTTTAACTTCGGCTTTTGCCAGCATGTGGTGTAAAATAACTACCTAAAAAGATTATATTTCTTCGTAAAAATAAACGTGTTATTTGATTTAGAATTACCTGATCTCTTCCCTTATCACCCACGATAACAAATAAAGTTCTGTGGCCCAATTTAACTCCATTTTCGATTAAAACTCTTATTCTGTTGTCTATTTTCTTTCGGACCATGTTTTTGGTTTTTATTTGACTTCTTAAATTAAATCCTAACCAAACTTTTAAGCATGTGGCATGGAACAAAAATCAGAAGCACAGATTGACTTATGACAGTGATTTTTTCACGTATGCCACAGAACTGAAATTAAGAGAATGGATTTGACAGTTTACAAAAAGGTTTTTTTTTTTTTGAGTTTGCGCGGTAGGTGCCAAACAGAGTCTATAATAGGCGAGCTCGGTCAGTCAGGGGCTGGAGCGGGACAAATTTTTAAATGACATTTAAGCGTGTTAAACTGTCACTAATCGGACTAAACCTAACGCTAAAAGGGTCGTTTGGAGTTAAAAGTGTTAAAGGAGTTAAAGGAACTTGGCAGACCGAACGCAGATTATTGAAAAAATATATATAACAATGTTTTCAGAAAAAAATTAACGGCGGGTTGTACAATACGCGGTTAATCGTCCCAAAAATTGTTTTTAAATGAATAAAATTAACAATTATTTTCAAATCACTTTCACGAATGACAATTAACTTGTCTGACAGATACTCACTGCGCAAACTCACACCTCAATTTTGAATCTTGACGGAACGTAAATTTTGAGCAAGCATTGACATCAAATCCATTCTCCTAATTTCAGTTCTGTGACGTATGCAAAACAGATGCAAATGCACAGGACGGGACTAGGACACTATTAAATTTAAAAATGTAATAAAAAATCAAGATATTTATTTATTTATTTATTTTTTATTCTTTACAGTAACGCAAAATACGAGTTTTATAGACTAATCTTAAATCTCAACTTGACTCTTGATTACTAATTGTGGGCATTTAATATGAAATACTTATTTAGAAATGATATTGTGCTGGTTTCTACAAAAAATTGCTGTAAATCATCCAAGATCCAGTAAAACAGTTCCGCGAACGCTTTTTAACTACTGCGCCTGCGAAATCGTTACTGTTAGTAATAATTCGGTTCAGGATTTTTACCGCGAACAAAGCCATTAAAATAAAAAATATTTTTTAGTGACATAAAAAATAGAGGAAAAATTTTTTTAACAGTTAGTTCATGTCAAAATAATACTTTCCTAGAGAGCATATTTGTCACCAAATTTGAATAAATACGTTTTTGATTTATTGCAAATTTAAAACTTTTAACATCCTGTATATCGTTAACTACGCCCCTTAAAGGGTCCATGTTCCTATATCAAAATTGATCAATTTACGAGAGCATTCTGGGGTAGAGCGTTGTCGTTCGAATATACTAACACCATGTACAATAAAAATTATAGAAAATGATATCATATACGACTTTTCTACAAAGAATTTTCTTCTCTAATAGTAAATAACAGAAATACACAATAAAGTAGAAAAATGATCCTTTATAAAATTTTATCTTTTTTTTGTTTCTGTGTATTCGACTTAAACGTCTGATTTTCATGTTTACCATAATCGATTAAAGCAGACAGTTTTAACTTCTAATTTCACGAATGCAAATGCTAATACTGTTTAAGGTAAAATAAATTTATATCGGTTATTTTAAACCTAACCTCTAAATAGTAACTTCTTTACCCTTGTGCAATATTCGGCGGGATATGCGTCAGCTAGCAAAATAGATAATAATATGTTCTACTTACGGTTTCTCTTCCATTTTATATATTTTTGGTTCTTACAAAGTTTTCACATAAAGCCAGTAAAGTTACAACTCGCCACACCCAAATAAACATGAAGTGAAAACTATACGATGCTTTTGACAAGGCACAACCCACGCATATAATCGAACAGTCCTTATGGACTGTTCGATGTTTATACATCGTAATGCCTGCCCGGCAAACATAATGTAATTTAAAATGTAATTTTTCGCGAAAAAATGCGCTTAAAAAGCGCTTGAGAAAAGTATGATTGAAATAACATTAATTTCCACTTAATATTGTTACGCTGGTTTTTGGTATCACAATTTATTTGAACTCAACTTTTACAATAACTCAATTCAACTGACACAATAACATGTAACGTCTATCATAAAACTGAAACTTTGACGTCAGGTCGTCGACTTATAGCTTGCCTGACCTTCTCGAGCTGTCATCTAAAATATTCTTGACGGGTAATGACATTTCTGGATAATTCTGGAATATTCTATCTTTTTTTTTATCTGTACGTTTCCTATGATAGCCGCAGGCTACTGCAGGGTGCTGCGTAACAATATCCAGTAAAAATGTGCCATTGATTGTAAATATGGCCCTAAACGTTAAACTAAACTGCTTATTATGCAATGTTTAATTGCCGTATTTATGTACCATAATTTTAATCATCGGCAGACAAGTTTCCGCCATATCAGTGTTTGCTGGATATTCTTGGAATAACTTTTAAAAATGTAGATTATGAAATATATTCTGTGAATATATCATAAATATTTCATTATATTTTGGCAGATAGGCAGATTGGTGGTAGTTGATATGTATTCTGAATTTGTAATAATTGTTCTAAAATAAAATAATTTGTTTCTTGATGATTAACAATGTTTAAAATCATAAAACAAACTCCACCCCCGTTAAAATTTCAAAATATGTGTTGATACGAGTCTTATTTTAGTAAAGTACCCTCTACGGTTAAATATATAAATATTTTAAAAATTATGCATCACTGGATATGGCCCAATCGTAAAGTTTTTGTTTTGAGTTGGAACTTTTCCAAACCGAAAAAGAGAGGCAAGCCAATTTTCGAGATTTATGAATTTTGGTGGCATTTTATTGTGAACTTGCAATACAGCCGGGAAAAGTTAGAAGTGTTGTTTGTTATTTTTAAATTCTTTGTTGTTATTAATTTGTAAGTATATTTTGATATTAAAAGATTTAAATATTTCTAAAAAAGGATATTCATTTAAATCAAAAATATATAGTTTCATAATTAAAGTTGAAAGTGATTTTTATACACGGTGTTTCAGATTAATATACCGGAAATTATGTAGATCTTGACTAATGAATAAGAAAAACTAAATGTTATTTTCTTGTGAACGTCCCAGTTTTCATTCTACAGGGTAATAAAAAAAATGAAATTCACGATTAATTATAATGAATTAAATTCAAACTAACACTTAATTCTTCTTCTTATTATTAATTATTATTATTATTATATACCTATTTCAGCCTTATTAGTATTTAAGCTGTTCTGTACTCCTCTTTGGGCAATAAAGGATTTTTTTTAAAGAAGAAGAATTGAACTCCCCGACATACGTGAATTGTTCTAAGTTCTACCTTAAAATCATTTTTTTGTGGATTACTCCTTAAAAAACATATTTTGGCAAAATTTGGAGACTGGTTGTTAAACTCCAACAACTTTTGCCAAATTTCAAATACCACCTACACAAGATAAAATGTTCTGTTTTCAGAAAAGAAAGATTTTTTCATTTTTCTCGTTTGCGTCTCATTTATTAAATTCGTTACATGTATCCTCACTTCAACTTATTTTTGTTCCTTTATTAATTCGAGTTGGCAATTATTTAAATATTGTTTACCCTCCCGAGTATATTTTTAGTTTAAATACACTTAGTCATTATTATATTTGGCCGAAACTCATTTATGAAAATAATGTAGACATTAAAAGTTTATTTACTCGATTCAAATAAATATAAAAGTTTTTTTCTACGACAAGATATATTTCAGATACAGGATACTTCTAGTCAAAACTTGATAGCTGTCAGTAATGAGAAAAAAACGTTCGTTTCTAGTTAGTAAAGTAAGTTATTGCATATTGTGATGTTTGTTTATTTTAAACAACAGTTTATTTATTAATAATTTATTTAAACACTTATTTATTTTATAACACTACTATTCTAATTTATATATATTTCGAATGTCTTAAAACTGTTGACTATTTATCTTCACTGTCCATATAATAACTAACTCACGCTTGGTCCTCCACCAATATTTATATACAAATTTTAAAAAATTGGCGAATGTGCTAGAAAGTTCACCTATTCTCACCAATACACTAGAAACATTATCCCGTTCTTTCTCGAATAGTCATCTAAAGCTCCTCCGCCATAGTCGTCACATATATTTGGTCTTAAGGGGTTTAATTATGTATGATAATCGGATAAGTTGAGCCTCAAAAGCCAAATAAGACAGAAAGGGACTTGGAGGATTAGAGCATGACTGAATAATGAAATGGATCACATTACAATAATAAAAGATTATGATCCACCATATTAAATGCACGGCTAAGGTCATAGAAGAGTCCCAAAAAAAATATGTTTTTTATCATTAAGTGCTTGATATATAAACTCTAGGCAAGCTGCAATTGCAGTAGATGTTGACTTATTTTTTTTAAATCCATTTTGAATATCTGGCAACATATTAAAACTTTCAAGGTAATTAGTGAGTCTAATAGAGTATGCTGACTCAAATATTTTAGTTATAATACTTGTTTTCATAAATATACTAGCACCACCTTTTTCTTTATTTATCCGTGGAAAATATGATACTAGCTTAAAATCGTCAATTATTGAGGTAGCTTGTAAATTGTTAGAATCAAGCCAATGTTCAGTAACACATAAATTTTGAAATAATTCAAATTGAATTAATCTAGAATTCAAATAAATAGTTTTAAATTTACAATTCTCTAAAATCATCCCCGTTTTCCTAGTTTATTCCTGTTAAAACAGTATGGATTAAGTTGATAACAATCTAATCATCTAATCATCATTCCAGATGTACAACAAAAAGGTCACACCAATAATATCTTGATGAAAAGTGAAAGCATCATCGTAAATCGTACAGGTTTCACTACTATCGATCCCGCACGCCATCCATCACCATGGAAATATAATTTGGACTGTTGTCATTATCAAAAAATAGGTGTTGCCCCAAAGGTATGGTTTTGACAATATCTGTACGAAAAGCAATGAGATGCAGTTGATTTTAGGATCTGGATTTGGGATCAATCGAAAACTATGGAAGCTCTAACTGCTAGTAAGCAAAACGATGAAATTAGTGATGATTTCGACGAACATACAAGAGGTTGGTACAAATAATTTGTTTATGAAACGTTTTCCTAATTATATAATAGTGCTATTATGATAATAATTAATACAAAATATTTTCAAGTATCGTTAAGATATCATTTTAAATTATAAACAATATTATTTTTTTTTTTATTAAGTAGACTTGTTTTTAAGACTAACATAAAATGTTCTTCTAGTAAGGCATGTCTAAAAGGGATGAGACGTTGTTTTTTGCTAAAAATTAAATAATATACACTCATCAAAAACAAAATTAATATTTTATTGGACTAATTTATTATTAGAATTCTGTTTAGATAAAATATACACGGTGACACACCGAAAATTTCCCATCCTTTTCATCCCAGTAAATAATATGGAAAATCGCAAAAACTCGTCAATTTTAGTTTCAAGGAGGACACCTATAATGAATATTTTTGACACTCGTTGCTCAACCTCCTAGGAGAGAAAGGGAATCAAGTGGCACACCATTTTAAAGGGCGTTTAATTTTCTTTCCAATGGTACCCTAATTTATTAGTTATTTATTAAACAAAAATTATTCTATCGAGTTGAATAACAGGAGAAATATCAAGTCTACACGTTTAACTTTTTATTTTTTTTTTGGTAATGTGATTTTTACAAAATAAATAACTTTTAATTTGCACAAGAAATTTTAAAAAATAGAACACAGGATCTACTTGTACACTATTTTAAAAATCTGATGTGTCCAACACATGACTTTCCTATCTAGTTATTATAGGCTTTTTCTGGTTATTTTGTACAACCTATTGCAGCACATCTATAAATGTTTAGAGGATAAACTAAATATATATATTTTCCACATACATCTACCTCGAAACATTTTTTTATAGATATTCATTGAAAACGAAAATACTGAAAAATTTAAATTTAGCACTTTTCCTACAATTTTTCTATTACGGTCCATTTTAGAAAAATCATGTTTAAACAAAAATTATAGAGATCGATATCGCAAACAACTTTTAGTTCAACAATTTTCATAAAAATCAGAATTTTGCACATTTTGTCAAATTTCTCGAATACGGACCATTTCAGAAAATTTTGACATAAAACAAAAATTATAGATAATAATATTAGAAGTAACTTTTATTTGAACAATTTTCTTCTCCAAACATAAATAACAGATAAATTCCATAAAATATAAAAACGGCCTCCCATAAAGTACCCCCCAGATGTTCTGTCAATGTCCAAAATCTAATCAGTTCACGTCAGGCCGAAATAAAACTTAAGTTTTAAATTTATACATTTTTTCAAATATCTCGAATACTGTTCATTTTAGAGAAATTATGTATAAAATAAAAATTATAAAGAATTATAATAGAAACAATTTTTATTTGAACAATTTTTATAAAAAAATATTTTTTTTTTACATTTTATCAAATTTCTCGAATACGGACCATTTTGGGAAAATTTTGTATAGAACAAAAATTATAGATAATAATATTAGAAGTAACTTTTATTTGAAGAATTTTCTTCTCCAAACGTAAATAACAGATATATTCCATAAAATATAAAAATTACCACCTCTAAAGTACCCCCCAAGATGTTCCGACTCTACCCAAAATCTAATCAGTTCATTGGACGCTGGAATAAAGCTTAAGTTTAAAATTTTGAGTATTTCTGTATATCGATTCATAAGTTATGGTGGATACAAACACACACAGACATCATCGCGAAAATAGCCAAAACGGATTCAGGGGACCTCAAAACGTAAAAATTCGTCGAAAACTCGAGGTCGAAAAATCATGATTCCTATACTTTCCTTATATCTGTATATAGATAGGAAAGTAAAAATGTTTCGAGGTAGATGTATGTGGAAAATGTATATATTTAGTTTATCCTCTAAATATATTTATAGAGGTGCTGCAATAGGTTGTACAAAATAACCGGAAAAAGCCTATAATAACTAGATAGGAAAGTCATGTGTTGGAGACATCAGATTTTTAACATAATGGTTACTTTATTAAGTGTTCAAAATGTGCTCCATTTGTGAGTTAATAGTACCCTAATCGATGGTAGAATGCGTCTACCACATTTTTCTATGATTGTTTTATTTATTTAAGACCTTCCAGAATACATAAAATCATAAATGTTACATATGGTTGAAATCGTATTGAATGGGAGATTTCAATAATGACTGAATATACAGGGTGATTAATTTGAAAAACCAAAGTGACTAATAATATAAGAGAAACGGCAAATCTGGCAACATTGCAAATATCAAATCTGGAATCTCCGTATCCCAAAATAGGTGTACCTCAAATTTTGTACAATTAGGAATAGCAATTTACGAGAAAATTGTCCGTTTCCAGACTTTTGGGCCACTCCTTACAACTTGCCTCAACTTACTTAATATTAAAGAATTGACTTTTGTTTAACTTTGGCTTACTTTTTTAAAATATCAAAATATACACATTTTTAAGTAATTGACAAATTCAAAATTATTTTGACAACTGCCACCTGACATAATAACATGATGTAATTAATCTACAACGTGCCAAAATCTAGTACCTTTCTGTTTCATCCGTTTTACATTGGACTTGAGGTATTTTCAAGATTTTACAATATGGCATAATGGCGTAAAAGTAAATAAGAAAAACCAAAAAATAAACAAAAAAACAGATTCTTTATGTGACCCGATTTCTTATGTCATTAATGTCAATTTTATTTTAGAAGTTTGTTGGCGTTGTCCTCTATTTCGCTTCTTTGATTTAACTGCATTGGAGAGCTTTCCAATCATACTGATTGGTTGACTACATTTCTAAATTTTATATATGACCCTTTCCTCCATGTATGTGACTTTTTGTATGACAGTTAAAAATGTATTGACAAATACATTGTATCTCTATCGTTAGGAAATCTCATAATTTTAAATATTTTTATAACCATTAAATTAGTTAAATCAAATTCCTTTACAAAGATGATATTCAAATGATAAAAGAAACCCATGGAAATGGATGAAGCATCATGGATGTTTGTAAAATGTGGGAATTCCAAAAAATGAAATCAAATTTTAACAAATGTAAGTAAAGCGGTTTTCACCGTTTTTTGCAATGAATTTTGTCGTTAATGAAACAACTATTATTTCAATAGAGATAGAAGTTGTTCATTGAGTCAAAGAAAATCTAACGTTAAGGACCTAGAGATGAATAGGTAAAAAATATAGACTCAGAACTAGGTAACAATTTTTTAAAACTCACTGTGGTTGAATATTAACACGTTAACCGCCATATGCATTAAATAGGATTCACACGGCCTTGAGTCCAGGGGGCCGTGCGAATATCATATAATTTTAAAACGTTTTTGCTTAAGGGATCTCTAAGAGTGTGGCCTGGGGAGCAAAAACCTGTGGATGGCCTACAAATTTTTTGTTGTTTAGAAATATGGCCATACCTACTTTTTAGGTTCATGTAAAAATAATTTGAAAACTAATTAATTGAACAAGTATGTATTGTTAAAACGATTATTTGTTAGTTTCCGTGATTGAAATAAATGGTTATTTATAATATAAAAATAAACTAAAATATATATATGAGATACATTGGTCCAAATAATAACAAAGTAATAACGGTAATTTTAACAAAAAATTAAAAGCAAAAGTTAATAATCTAGTAGATTTATGCCTAAGAATAAAACAGAGTTTGTTTGGCTTTTAGAGAAGCCTCTTTTCTTTCAAATTCACCTTTCATCTTTTTATAACATACATCACATCTTCTCCTTTGTGATCCTATATTTTTCAAAATGCATTCTCTGGTTGTAGCTGTATAATCTTCTCTTGTTTCTTCACCTAAAAGACCAATTTTTACCTCTTCTTTGAATTTTGTAATACTTGCATTAATAAGTGCTGTACCTGTAATCAACTTTTTATACCATTGCTGTTGTTATAGTGTTTAGAGTGGGAGGTCAATTTTGCCAAAATTATAAATGAATTAAATATAATTCACGTGGCCCCCGAAGGTGTCATTTTGCTTCTGAGGCCCCTAAGACTATTGTGTGCCTTTTTGTCACAGAATGTGTTCTTATATACACTTTAATATAAGCTGAAAATAAACAAATATATTGGTGGCCCCCTAGATACGATTTTTTACTGTAGTGCGGCAGTTAACGTGTTAAATTATTTGATTTTTTTCGATACAACTTAACATACTAATAGGCCTTAAATCTGTAGCTTTATTTGCGTTTTTTGTCTTTGGAACAGGCACTACCATAGCAATTTTTAGAGCATTAGGTATTTTTTAAATTTCTAATGACGAATTTATCAAATTTAAAAGTGTTTCTGAGAGGTTGGGAAAACAGTTTTTTAAAATATTAATGTTAATGTCATCTGTGCTATTTTTATTTTTCATTGCAAAAAGAACGTTTCTTAAAGAATCTACTGTACATAGTTGACATTTTTTTTGTAAGAGTAGTAATTTATAATAAACTATAATTCTTGTGAATTGAACGACGATGATCCCTTCTCTAAGAACGTGTACTTAGGTTTTAATTTTAGAACTAGATTTGATGATACTTTTCTTTTCAGATGTAGAAACTAGCGTCACTTCTCTACAGGCAAAACTATTTACGCCACAAGCAACACTTTCTACTAGCTACTTTGCCAATTTTTTAATTAAACATAATAATATCGAAGACGAAACAAGGTTTAGAATAAAAGAAACTCCGCCCAAAGAATGGTGGAATAATAAAGAGCCACCGTTTGATATTCAGCCACCTAGATGGCCCACAGAATGCCAGGTACAGTTCTACAACACAACTTTTACAATATCTATCAACTAATAACATTAACGTATAATGACTATCATAAAACTGACTCCTGACGTAAAAATCATCGACTTATATAACTTGTTTTAACCTTCTAGAACCTTCTCGTACTCTCCAGATTTTTCTTGACGTGGAATGACATTTCTCGAATATTCCCCCTTCTTCTTTTACTCGTACCTTTACTTATGACGACCGCAGCATGCTGCAGGGTGCTGCGTTACACAATATTGAGATGGCAAGTCAGAATAAGATGTGCACTGGCAACAATAAAAAACAGATAAACTTGGCAAAACTGCACAAGTGAACACAAATAGATCACTGAAACAATATCATCGAAGTTCAGCTATTAACTGAGATAACTTTTCCAATTTTTAGATTTACCAATGCGCATCTGATTTTGACTTGAATCGGAATATTTTGGAGTACCTACAATGCTTATAATATTTCCGAATTTCATTTCAGGTACTGGAAGAACGTATTTTCCACGTAATTGATTCTCCGCCAACAAATGAACTATACTATGTTCCCACAGGTGCCGAATGCCAACCGACGCCATCTGGCGAGGAATGCGGTAAAGTTGTTTTCCAGTATACGCCACTTAGTGCTGTGAATTATGTAAGTTAAAACAATATGGTTTATGAATTGGTTTTTCTGCGTATTGCTTCAGGTCTAGTACTTGAATGACCCTATTGTAGTGGCCACTCCATACTTTAATTTTTGCGGTTTTTGTTATTTCAGTCGCCAGTAAAAACTTTTTAAGCAACATAATTTTACTGAGATGTAAAAGGTTAATTTGTTAGTTAGAAAGGCTGAAATAATTCATCCTAAACCCTTTCACAGATCTGACTTCAGTGGTAACTAAATGGTAACTGCAATCAATGCGGCGCATTAGTGATGACGTAACAAATGAGCCAAATAAAGTTCTTTATATGTCTAAAAAGAGTATAGAATTAGAGTGGTTCACCAAAAATGTTTCTGGCAAAATTCATGCATGTCGAATGTTCAATTTTTCTTCTGTTTAAGTATCTATTTGAATATAATTCAGAGCCGTGCGTGGTTATCACGGAAATGACTCGTATCTCTGCCTTTTTTGTACATAGCTTATCTTCAAATCATTTTTTTGTAGATCACTCTGTCCATTTGACTCTCAAAAGGTTATAAAATTAAGCATTTTTGTTTTTTCAATAACATACCTAACATTAACCTTTATATTTTCAGTTTTGTAGATCTAGCGTCGGTGGAAATAAATTCATTTTACCATCTAATCTATGTCCGGGCGAAGACACTTTAAAATTCGAATCGAGATTCGAATCCGGCAACCTAGCAAAGGCCATAATGATAACTCCAACTTATTATGAACTACATCTTAGGTCTGATTTCTATACGAACAGGCATATGCAATGGTATTATTTTAGAATAAGTAACGTTAGAAAAGGTCATTTGTATAGGTAAGTAAAAATATCGTCCTGTAGATGTAGATAGTAAAATAGAAGTTGTCTAATAAATCGAGTTATGTGTGCACTGTACTTTAAAGGCTCCCATTCACGAGTACGCAAATGAAGTGACTGCATTCCAAAATGTATAGACGTGGCGTGGTAGTTTTGCTGGATATTCAGACGTTCAAAACATTCAACAAACTCTAGTAGCAACGCCTGCGTTTGTTGTGCACTACACAACACAAAAAACTACATTATTTACGCATCCATTTAGTGTGAACGTGAAGGAACAGTTTTTAAACGTTAATTCCATTTGGATGCCGTCTAAACGGATTCATTCCATTTGCAGTGACGTGAATGGGAGACTTAAGGAATTTTCTTTCAGGTTTTCAATCACCAATTGTTCAAAAGAAAGTAGTTTATATAACGAGGGAATGAAGCCTCTGATGTATTCAACCAAAGAGTCCAAAATTCACAACATTGGCTGGAGAAGATGTGGAACGAATATATCGTATTATTGTAACGAAAACATGTAAGTTTTCAAGTATTAATAAATTGAATGCAAAAACATATCTTTCGTGTTCACCTGTCGAGTGTTCTCTTAAATGGGACGACAAAGACAGAGAAAACTCTTGATAGGGACGTATCTCGAATATCAACACACTTTACTTCATACTGTCACTTGGAAAAGCGCCGTTGTCAAATTTACCATTTAGAAGATAATTTAGGGAGTGAATAAAGTTATAGAGTTCATTAGCTAATGAGATATTTTAACAATCGTTCTTGCAACCGGTTATGTAGATGTTGTTTTATTCTCGATGTCCTTTATTTCTTTTTAGACAAATTGCAATACTTAATAGCTACGTATAACGCAAATCTTAAACTTAAACATAGTTTGTTCCTGGAATTATATTAATTTTGAATATATAGCATTTGAGACGAGAGTTAAAAAAATTAATAATTCCCATTAAACTTTAGCGATAGAATCACTCTCTGAACTTTTGTATCCTAGTTAGGAAACACCCTGTATATCTTCATTCTAATTTTCTAAAATATTGTTGCTGTTTTATTTTGGATTTATTGCAGATCTGAGTTCGAACCGGACCACCCGATGACATACACTTTAACATTTACTTTAAGATTCCCACACGATAACGATGAAGTTTATTTAGCTCAAAGTTACCCTTATACGTATTCGGATCTTCAAGATTACCTTTTGGAAATGTCTACGCACCCAGTTAAATCGACTTTCACCAGCATTAGACCGTTGTGTCGAAGCCTCGCCGGAAACAATGTACAATACGTAACCATTACCTCTCCTCCTGCGCCCGGGGAAGTTATTAAGGTTGGTAGTATTTCGAGACAGAGTTCCTAAATGTCATCTGCAAGACTGCCATTTAAAAAAATATATCATATAAATTGATTAATACATTGGACGATAGTACAACTGAATTGATTGCCAATGAAAGAGTATAATAAAAGAAGTCTGAACATAAATGAAGACACAAGTGGATGAAGGGGCTTATGGGCTTATGTACCTAAAATTCGTTTAAAATGTCTTCCGTGACAATATATCATCAAATATAGAAGTTGCCAGTGGATAAAGGACCCATGTACTAGGAAATAAATGCCAAACAATAAACTTTAACACGAAATATCTCACTACATAGACCCTTCATCCACTTGTGTCTTCAAATATCTAAACGATGATGTATTCGTTGAAACATTTTCTGTAGTTCTCAAAATTATATTTCTACATGTTTCATAAATATTTTGTCAAATTTTGAAGCCTATATATCAATTGGTATTGAAATGGTGATAAAATAAAGGCAATATCAAGATGTTAAAAAATCTAAATTCAACTTTGATACCTTGTAACTTTAAAATCTGTTAAAATTTTAAAATGTAGTTTTCAAAATTATATTTCTAAACATTTCATAAACATTTTGTCAAATTTTGAAGTCTATACATCAATTGGTTTGAAAATGGTGATGAAATAAAGGCAATATTAAGTTGTTAAAAAGTTGTTAAGTTCAACTTTAAAACCTATTGATATTTTTAAATTATATTTCTACACATTTCATAAAATTTTGTCAAATTTTTTCAGAAAAAGAAAGCAATCGTGTTAACGGCCCGGGTGCATCCAGGCGAAACTCCTTCGTCCTGGATAATGAAAGGTATCCTGGATTTTCTTTCAAGCGATACCGGACCAGCCAAAGAATTAAGGAATAAGTTCATATTTAAAATAGTGCCAATGTTAAACCCAGACGGTGTTATAGTAGGAAACAATCGATGTTCATTATCTGCCAAAGATCTTAATAGGCAATACAGGACTGTCATTAGAGATGCTTATCCTTCCATATGGTATACCAAGTTGATGATTAGAAGGTTTGATATAGCTGTTTTTTAAATTTTTATTAGATATAGAGCTAGATAAGTAATTTTAAGAATCCATCTAAACGTAGATCTCGCTAATCATTACTATTTATATTATTTTACTCCAAGTAATATGTTATTTTTATTTTGTTACTTTCTGGATGACTTCGATATTGTATATTTAAAGACAAGATGACTTTAATTCATTTATTATATGACCTAGCCCCGTTACAATCTATCCCGGTTTCCGCATGCGTAAAATGGTGCATGTGGAGCGCAGAAAAGCGCGCCAGTTTTAAATTTGTATAAGGTTACTAAAGTAACTTGCCAGAAATGGGTTGACGTTTTTTGGTGGCGGCGAAGCCGCCACCCTACGATAAATCGTTGCTTCGTTTTCTTGTTGCATATTTATGGACTGGTATGCGCAATCGCAAGAAATTATGTGAAAAAGTTTACGTTTTCAATTCAATTTGAACTGTGTCTACCAGGCCGTTGGAGTCTATGCCGGTCGGTGTAGCGAGGTATGGGTTGATGTTTTTTGGTGGCCGCCACCCTACGATAAGTCGTTGCTTCATTTTCTTGTTGCATATTTATGGACCGGTATGGGCAATCACAATTTTCCATTAACTATTGAATAAAATCAAAACAAAATTATTTAACTTGAAATTATTAAAAAGAATGTAGCATGACAGCATAACATAACCTCAATCAGAATTACCTATCTACGCATTCGGAAGTCAGGGAGCCAAAGTGAATTCGTTTCTGTAACAACTACTGACATGTGACGCGACACAACACTCACGTTCGTTTGTTTTCATATTCATAGTAAAGGTGTGTTTACAATTCACCACAGTGTCGGATACTGTCTGTTGAATTACATTCAACTAATTGCATTCATTGTTATACTCAGCATTGTAACTCTAGTGACGTTCCTGTAATCAGCACTATCTTGCTCGATAAAGAAGTTGTCCGACAAATAAATACGTCACAAGCGTCATCCACTCCTCAGTGGTTAACGTCAAGCGTCAGCCTCAAGCTCGCTTAACTACTTTTCTCTTTCTTCAAAGGTGTAGCAAACATATTAAATTGTTTCTGCAGATGCTTCTGAACCGTTTGCAAAATGTCAATCAAACTGTTGCTTGTTCTGGTTTCTTCCAAATATGCTGCAAATCGTAAGATATCTAGTGGAATAGTTAAATACGAATTTATTCGCCGCGTAAGACTTTTAAACCTTCCACTGGTCAGCTAGTATTAGGACAGTTTTCAATAAAATATTATTTCTGAAGAATCAAAACCAGAACAGACTTAATAAATGTTCATTTTTGTGGTAATTACTAAATCTAAGGCGGTTGTTTTCAGGCTACTCGAAGAATGCGGCGTGGCGATGTATTGTGATCTTCACGCCCACTCTAGAAAACACAATATTTTTATTTATGGTTGCGAAAGCCGACGAGGAAGCGATCGAAGACTGCACGAACAAGTTTTTCCTTTGATGTTACATAAGAATGCAGCTGACAAGGTGCGTATTCGAATTTTTTATGAATGAATCGATTGTGTTAGTGTTGCCAATATTATTACAGCGCCAATATTAATCGGTTTTTTATTTATCTGAAAAAATTTACGCAAAAAGTAGTTTTCAATTTGCCTTGGTATCATATACAGGATGTTTTGTTAATAATTGTGATAAGTTTCAAACGAATCCGATTGACTTTAAAAATTCCGTCCGCCATATTGGACCAATACTCACAATGTGCTAAAAAAAAACGGTAGGATGGATTATTTTTTGGTGAATAATCATTTTTTGTTTGTAGTTTTCGTTCGAGAGTTGCAAATTCAAAGTCCAAAAGAACAAGGAAGGTACCGGCAGAGTGGTAATGTGGATGATGGGCATAGCGAACAGCTACACTTTGGAGACGTCTCTTGCTGGCTCCACCCTCGGCCACAGATCGTACACTCACTTCACCATACAAGATTACGAGCAAATGGGCAAGACCTTCTGTCAAACTCTTTTGGACTTCTACGACGAAGATCCCAAAAAGGTACCTTCCAGAACATTCGACCAAACTTTTATTCTGGCCATATTTATTGTAATTATCATCACTTTAATTCAAACAACTTTCTTTACGGAATAAAGGTTTATTGCTGAAACCGTGTTTTATTTCAGGAAAAACTTCGAATGAAAATCGTGGAGCGGTTGATGAAGGAAGGATCGAACGCAGACGAACCCATGAATATTAAATTGAGTGACTACTCAAGGTAGGTTTTTCACATTATTTAGCTCGACCCATATCCAGGAGGAAAAGACAATCTTTTTGAGCAGGTTAATAATTTACAAAAAATATTAACTGGAATAGACAATTTTGGGGCCCTTAGATACTGAGTGTAACGTTTAAATTCGACCTTAGGTCACTTATTTATTAAAATAGGAGTGCACTTAATATATCCAGCTGTTTCAGAAATGGAAATAGAATTTATTCATCTTTGAGAATTATACACTATACAAAGACAGTAGGTACCATAGATGTAGGTACATAATGTAAAATCCTATCAGACTAGTCAAAAAAGTGTTAAGTAAAATACATTAAAAAATAAAATTAGACAATTCATGTTAAGATTAGTTTAAAAGTTCAAAAAATCTTCTATACTATAAAATACATTATTTACAAGAAAATCATTAAGATGTTTTCTTAAATCATTACGACTAATTTGATGATAACCTGTAGTATCTTCTAATATGTTACTAAACTTAATCCCAATATATTTTGGTGAATGCTGGTTTATTTGCAGTCGCGAAAAAGGTTGATGGATGTTAAATTTTAATCTAGTCTAGTATCATATAAGTGCAGGTCTTTATTTTTCTTAAATATGTGCTCATTATCTTTTATACTTTTATGTATAAAATTAGTTGAAAAATAAAAAGGGAAGGTAGTGTTAAAATTTGCGTTTTCTTGAAAAGTTCTGTACATGACGTTGTTGGTGTCACCTTATACATGGCTCTCAGAACCTTCTTTTGAGATACAAAAGCTCTTTCAAAGTATGGTGTGAAGAACCCCAAAATATTAACCCATATTGTATAGTTGAATGAACCAAACCAAAATAGCATAGTTTTAAAGTATCAAAGGATAGTGTCTCCCTTAAATTTTTGATGATATAACAACAAGTACTTAATTTTGAAGTTACCATTTTTATATGAGCTTCCCAATTTAATTTGGGATCTAATATTATTCCATCAACGCTTTGAATAGTTTTTCCGTCAACGTGCAAGTAGGGTTCATAATCTAGTAATATGTTTTTGGGTAGAAATTCCATGAAGTTTGTTTTTGTTACATTTAATGCCAGATCGTTATCTTTACAATACTGATTAAACTCACGAGATGCCTCGTTGCTACTTTGAGTGACCTGTTCAAGTTGATCATCTGCCATTACAATATTGGTATCATCGGCATATTGAACTATTTGTTGAGAGCTTAAACAAAAATTACTTATATCACTTATAAAAACTATAAAAAGAAGTGGGTTCCAAAATTGAACCTTGGGGAACTCCTATTGTACATGGAAGAGGATCAGATTTTAGACTATTTGTTACAATTACTTGAGTTCGATTTATTAAGTAAGACTGTATACATTCATAAGGTTTCCCTCGTATTCCTAACCCATTCATCTTCAATAATAAAATATTATGATCCACGGCTAAGGTCATAGAAGAGTCTCAATAGTATATTATGCAACGATCATGTAATAACCATTACATGAGAGTTGCATACGCTATTTTTTCTACACCCGATAAATAATCAAGACCTATAAATATTCTATTTATATTGGTATTGAACACAATAACAGTAATTACTCGTATTTCTATAAAAAATTCTACAAAATTGTAATTAATGGTATTACCTTGGGTACTGGTATTACCACAGATTTTTGGGGCAAAATATTTTGTACTGCATTTTCTCCTTTCTCCTATATGTGTGGAGGAGTGTTCTATATCGCTGATATCAGACATTTTAATATTATAATTATCGAAGTTTAGCTATCTACGAAAATTTAATACGTTTTGACAACTAAAACAATTACATAGGAATTTTTTATCATTGAGTACTTGATATATAAACTCTAGGCAAGCTGCAATTGCAGTAGATGGTGACTTATTTTTTCTAAATTCATTTTGAGTATCTGTCAACATATTAAAACTTTCAAGGTAATTAGTGAGTCTAATAGAGTATGCTGACTCAAATATTTTAGTTATTTGACTAGATATACAGAATAAACGATAATTTTCTATATTAGATGCAGATCCCTTATTTTTATAAACAGGAATTCCTTTGGATTCCTTCATATTTGGGAATAATCCCGAAACAAAGGATTCACTAATCAAATGTGATATGGGTTCAGCAATACAATGAGCAACCGATAACAGAATTTTACCAAGTAGTTTTTTTGATTATAGTGATGATTTCACTAGGAGTTGTTGGAAAAAGAAAAAACGTTTATGATGTTTATCAATACTGATAGTATAGTTAGGTACAATATTATTTTTATTTACATTAATAAAATATTCATTGATATAATTTACTTTTTCTAAGGGTGTTAATTTGTCATCATTTGTAAGTTTAATAGGATTCAATAAGTTGTTTTTTCTTTTTCCCCTACCCTCGTTTATTATATTACAGGATTCTTTCATTCCCAAATAACAAATGGCTTTAAACGGAATCTTTTGACCAACACTTTAGGGAACAGTGACGGTTTTCTTTTTATTTATTCGGTTTAAAGTTTCTCTTATGTAGACATCTGGTAGTCCATAGCTTCTACAAAAGAGAAACCCTTTCTCTGAGCTGTTATAAAGACTAGGGGCTGAAAAAGCTCTGATTATCGACGGGGGGAAACAAGCGAATACCGCTATCACCCCTGGTTAACGCGAAAATGGATGAAGGGTGCTAATGCTCCCGGATTTAAATCCAATTTGCTTTATTACCCTAACAGGTACTAAGGAAATTAAAAGTACAGGTCGAATTCCTTATGTAGACAATAGAAACGGAATGAACGTTGCAGGGAGAATTATTAGATGGAATTTTAAATAAAGTGCCTACCTTGATTAATTCCTCACAATCGTCTACGGTACTCGAAAACTAAATTACGAAAAATCGGTTTCGACTAATATCAAGCACAATATCACTTAAACGGTCAAACAGCGACGAAAAACGGCATGGAAGAGAGCCCTCTCATCGAAGACATCTGCTTTTATCAAAAGTCGGACTTTTGCCAGAGTGGGGACGCTAGTTCCTACTCCTTTGTTATTAGTTGTTTTGCAAAAAAAAACGTTGATTGATCGACATACTGATAAACCTACTAGAATTAAGATTTTAAGACGTAATTTAATTTATTGTGATAATGAAAAGTTTTAAACTACGAGTGTTCTTGTAAAGGTTCAAAAACGGTAATTCTTTGGAAATATTAGTTACAGGTGGTCTCGCAAATGTTCATAGACGGAAATTAGTTTTAGAAATTAATTTAGGGAATAAATTAATAGAAATTTTTAGTGACTTCATCACAGCTTTATAAATTGATCCCTCACGCCATCCGTTCTTGGTCCTCGTACACATACGGTTTTTTTAACTAACCCTTTGAAAATCTCAGTTGTGCAGACCTGTTCTAGAACAACAAACTGGGACAAATACAACACCATTCTAAAACAAAATTTTAGCACGTATCCAACCTAAAAAGGGGCTCAGGCTTAGGTTCTGGAAAGCGATCTCGAGAAACTAAATGAGGCAATACTTAAGTCATACTATTGAGAGGAGTCACGCCAAAGCACCGCTTTGGGTAAGATCTCCGGTTCGATAAAAATAAAACACTATTTAACACAAACTGATTTATTATCCGACAAGCTGAGACGTGAGAAACAATACAACCCTTTCAGCGACTTATTACAAACTAATTATAAGGATTCTTTTAAAGCAAAGATCCTGCTAATAACAAAACTATTGCAAATTGGTGCGAATAACCGGAGAATGACGGATGGGCCGATAGTCTGGAACATAGAGCGCCGTTGCCAGATCCGTCCAGATTCTCAATAACTAAGGAAAAAACTGAAAAATTACATTTGTCTCTAACACATACCCTTCTTAATTCTCGCCACTACATCTTCTTTCACTCCACAATGATGTGTTTTAGTTATTTCTAATAATTGATTTTAACCTCATTTTTAGCGATGATGGTGATACTTCCAATAGTAGCGACGAAGTCGGTAGGGATTACGGAGAAGATAACGAAACGCCAATGGTGCCTCCATCTTCGCCGATTTACGTTAAAAAAACCAAATCGAAAACTTCCTCAGGAAAAGTGAAATCTGTTGTTCCAAAAAGCCCGTCTGCACCTAGGAAACCGTTGCCAGTAAATAAATAAACATTTTTATGTATTTAATTATTCGTTCACTGTCGTAAAAAAATAGTTATGTTTGTAGAACTAAAAATGCACGAAATAGAATGTTGTTATGTGTATGCTTTAAGAAATAATAATATTTTCATTATTTAAAAACGTTTTTGCTAAATGTTCCTGGACTAAAAAAAAATTACAACCGCGATCCACAACGGGCCGTAATTTCTTGATTAAATCGAATTCATTTTAGTTTATTTTGTAGATATGTAAAGCCACTTTGAAACTGTCTCTATCGGACAAGGAAAGCAGCGTTTCTTGTTCTTCGTACAGCGATTCGGATTCAGATAAAGCGACAAAGACCAAAATAGTTAGGAGGAGGAAAAAGAAAAAATACTCGAGGAAGAAGAAGGTGCGGTTTCAAACATTTTTTAAAATATTATTTCGATTAATAGTAGTATAAAAACGGGGTAACAAAGTGAATGCGAAGGTACTGTAACACTCTATAATTTATATTTTTATATATACAGTATGTCTTAAATTCTAAAGAGTTACATTTTTAGGTATTTGTTATACGTTTTTGAAATCGTGCTTCAACAAGCTTTTATTTCATACCCCACACGAGCTTTGTCTGTAAGTTAGAAAGTTGCTCCATATTACTAAGACCTCAATAATCCCATTGTGCAACCTCCAGACGCATATAGGAATTGCTTCTCAAATAGAAACACGCTTGTTGATGCTCTACCCACCGGAAGACTACGATTATTTTACTCAACTACCTGATGCGAAATTTTCCTGTAGACCGGCTCAGTTGTGCATCTGTTTCTTAATCCGATATGGGTGTAAATTCAGTGAATGACCTATAGAACACGAATAGGAGGGTTCGAATCCCCCAAGTGAACAAATTTTTAAAATTGTTTCACTATGTGGGTTTAAAAATAATTCCATTATTTTGTAGGGATAACTTTTTTGATTTCTTTGATTATTGATTATTTTATCTTCGAAAAATCATAATTTATAGGGTGTTACACGTAAATTTTATTTGTAATAAATGAAATGAAAAAATTCTATACAGGATATGCCACTCAAAACCACACAAAACTACAGTAAGCTTCTAATAAATTTGTAGATATATATGTGGCAAGCTTATTTGTTTTATATTATTATTTGGCTTGTTTATGATCGTTTTGAACATTTTTTTTATAATTGCATTTTTATTTTGTTATTAGAAAAGTAGAGAATCACTAGATGAGGATAGAATTATTGTTATAGCTGTAAAGGTAACTTAAAACTTTTGTTTTTAATTTAATTAATATCTACCTACATGTGGTCTTGAAAATAATGCGTTTCTTTAATACAAGGGTTGCTAAACTTATCTAAATACAACAAAAAACCTTGTAAAATGTAAAATTTGTTTTCCTAGTATTTTTTTTACAAGCATGTTACAAAAGTTTAGTAACGTTGCATCTAATGATTTTATGACCAAAATATTGGAGGCTTTACAATGACAGAATACAGATTTAGATAAAAAAAAAACCTTCAGTGGTTATAACATACTCTAAACACTAGGTTTTTTACCTAAATTTGTACTGACATCTATATTCTGCCTCTGTGAAATCCCCAATATTTTGTTCACAAGCCGCCACTGTTAAAAGGTATCATACAACAAAAATTTTCAGGTTAAATTGTATTTGAAGTACCTTCTGGTTTAATTTTTGACAACGTTGAATTGTGACAGAATTTTACGTCAAACATAATAATTAACAATCTTATTTTAAATACTTTTTGAAAATATTGTTACTTCCTCCTCTGCCTCCTGTTTCTGCACGCAACTCATAGCTCTTTTTTACCTTTAACTCCTTCTAAATTTCTCTTTGAATTCTTTTAAAATTTCAATATCTTCGTTTTTTGGTATTTGTTAGTGTTTTTTTTGTGTGGTTGTTGGAATTGAATGGATTTCATTTGACAGATGCGTAGTAGAAAAAGAAAAAGGTAATAAAATAATAAAATTTGGAGTTATAGGTCTAATTTAATTGAACGTAAAAAATTAATCAATAAGTCAAAGATGTCTTTACTGCCATTGCTTAAATTTATTAGTTTACAGTATACAATTCTAAAAAAAAAAAAAAAATTTGACAACTCATCCTAATGTGACAATTCTAAAATTTTAAATAAAATTGCACTTTTTCTTAACTATCTTGAATACTGCCCATATAAAAAAATTATGTATGGTACAAGAATGACATCACAAACAACTTTTATTTAAACAATTTTCTTAAAAATTGAATTTTGCACTTTATGTCACATTTTTAGAATACAGACCATTTTAGAAAAATTATGTATTCTACAGAATAATATTGCAAGCAACTTTTATTTGAAGAATTTTCTTCTCTGAGTGTATATAACATATATATTTCATAAAGTAGAAAAACAAACTCCTATAAAATACCCCTCAGATGTTTAGACTATGCCTACAACTTAATCAGATAAAAAAAATTTGCTTTTTCTTTTAATCCGTTTCTGAGTTATCTTTAAAATTCGAAATTTCCACTTTTTGTCAAGTGTAAAAGGAACGCATTATTTTCGAAGACAACCTACTAATTTAACGCTGCCGTTTTGCAATCTACATTCTGTATTTTTTTAGCCAATACGTGATCATTCGGACAGCGAAATCCAAGTAAACAGAAGCAAAAGGACTATTTCAGTATTCGATTTGATTCCTGCCGATACTTTGAACAATCACCACATTTCAACGTTGCAGAGATGCAAAACTCAGCAAACAGTGTAAGTTTATTTTCTATTTTGGCTAAAAAAAAATAAGTACATGTAAGTAAAGGTTACAGTTCAGTGGAAAGTTTAAAAAAATGTACACAACTCATTTTAAATTACAACAAGCTGCCATTGCTGTTTGCCATAATAAATATTTTTAAATTATCAGATTGGTATAAAGTTAACTATTATTTCCTACTTTCTACTGCTTTATACCTGTTGTAACCAATCCTTTTCGAATTTTATTGCCGTCTATGTAGTCCAGTTCGTCTATATCGGTTCATCCCCCCTTTTTTTGAATTTTATTGCCGTCTATGTAGTTCAGCTCATCTATATCGGTTCATCTCAGTGAAGATAATGCATTGAACTACTTTATATTTAAATACAGAGTTAGGTTATAATATTTTTAATACTATGTTTGTGTTATATTATTGTCAAAGAGCATCGTAATGACATATGTCCGGTAGTGACTTCTATTTTGAATTGAATTCAGATATATGTAGCATGTTTTCTTCCATTTGAGGTAAAACTTTGTAGTTAACTCATCATTTAATACAATTATACCGCATTTCTTAATCAAAAATAGTTCAGAAAGTAAAAAATCATTTATATTCCATAAAAAAGAGATTTTTATTTAGTAAAATTCATACCTTTAACTCATTATGTACATTTAATTATACATGATGCCAATGAAATAACTTTAGATGTCTTAATCTAACAGTTGTAAGAAAAACGTGTCTGATTATAGATAGCACTTGGCAAAAATGGGTATTAATATCATTAATAATCAGATTTTAATTGCAAGAGCCCATTAATTAAACATAATAACATTTATGTCTGGTTATCATACCCTTATATTTGTTTTTTTTTTGTCATCATTTATTAAAATCGTGAGATTTATTTCAGCAGCAGCAGCAGCAGCATGAATAATTACTATCACGCCATCCTGTTTATACTTCATAGTCAGTGGCGTAGCCACAGAGGGGGTTTTAGGGGTCAGAACCTCCCTCCAATAGAGGACCTTCGCGTCATCATTCCTTAACTGTTTATTAACCCCCCCATAGTTCTTAGAAACCCTACCCATGAAATATTTCTGGTTACGCCACTGTTCATAGTCACCATGTTGCGTTAAGTCAAGTTAAGATCGGTTTTTATTTTAATTATTAAGAAAATAATATGCAATTTTAGGAGGCATGCAGAAAAGCGAGACGAAGTTCACAAACAACTGGCTGAGGTTCAAGCAAAATTATTTACATTAAAAAATAAACTGTGGTTTGGAGTGGGCAACGGCGATACGCCGCTGGCTTGGGGAAAAAGGACAGTAGAAAATCAGAAAAAAATATCCCAAAAAGAAGTGTGAGTAAATAAAAATAGTTTATTTTAACATTTAATTAGGTATATAATAAAAAAAATTCAAAGTTGTAGCAGGTTACAATATGTAAGAACATTTTTATCATACTTACAATTTGAAAAATAGAAAAAGAGAAGAATAAGAATAAGAAAAAGAATTTTGTTTTTTATATAAATATTTCTTCCTATCTCTTATCCAACTAAAATCTTCACGAACTTAAGATATATGACACACGCATATCCCTGGGGGACTTAAGTGGGTTATACTGTTGAAATATCAAATTAATATTTAGTTTTTTAAATTATTATATTACTAAGTAGGGAGGAAATGGGGATGCAAAAGGATGCATTGTGATGGGGCATCAAAAGGAAGCGATGGGGTCAAATAGATGCGAGGGGGGAGGTAATTATCAAGATGAATGATCGACTAAATAGATTATATGAGAAGGTATTATTAAGAGTAATGATCTTGAAGAATGCTGATAAGGCTTAAACAAGTCTGAGCAAGTTTATTCAAATAATGAATGGCAGGAAAAACAAATAGATATGCATATTTTAGTTTAATTGTTACAATAAGTTTATTACATATATCATTAATATAATTAATTGGCACTTGGGGAGTAAAGGGGTATAAGTCGAAAATACTCAAAATTGGAGTTAAATCTGCCACGATACTTCTAAACTCATTTTGTACCCCTGAGAAAAGGGATATAAGTTATGGGAAAAAGGGATATAAGTAATTTAAGCCTTACAAAATTTGGGAATTTAAAAAAACCGTTATTCAAACGGGAATATTAAAACTTTAAACTCAGTTTACCATAATTGTTGATTTAGGACATATACCCATTTACCCCCCCAAGTGCCAATTATATTATAACCTGGTATACTAATAAAAAGTAAAGTTTTTATTTATTACGCATTATTATCGAAAATACCCTGCACAAATCTTTATATTTCCACGCCTCTGATCCTGTATTTTTGTTTGCAGAAAGAAACGTACGCCGAGTGCGAAAAAAATGCAAAAGATAGACAAAAAATCGACGATCAAAGATATAAGGGATAACGAACCCAAAGAAAAGTCAACGGTGAATGGGTATAATATTATCAGTTTAACTTTTCCTCAAGACGTTAGTTAGGGAGTAATATATTATTATTATTACATTTGTCCGGAAAATGTTCGTTCAATTTTTAATATTTAATATTTACTTTCAATATTAACTCCTTTTCTATTATTTTTTTTTATATCTATTTTTTAAAAGAATATGATTGTAGAAAAAAAATATTGCAGTTATATTATGTTCAGCTTTGTTTGTTACACGAATGGTTCTAGTATACCTTGTCCAATTCATTATAATATAGATGATCCGCGCTTAAATTTCCGTACTTGTAGATATCGTACTGAAATTAATTGAGAGTGTTTGAAAGACATGAAAGAATGCCTGTAATTCAAGCGCAAACTGTCATTAGTGCTCTTAATACTATTGGTAAAACAAACTGGAGAACCTCCAAACATAGTAGTTTTACTGTATTTTCGGTTTTTTTTATTTTAGACAAAAAAGAAAAACAATATACGACCTCATTCAACCAAAAAGTCAATCCGAAAAGACAAGACTGCGCAAGTGCAAGAGCCTGCCCGATACGTCGTCGATCTCGTTGATAGCGAAACAGAAATCGCTTAGCGGCGACGACGAAAAAGATAAAAAGAAGAAAAAGAAACTCGTCAAAAAAGTCAAAGCGATAAGCAACGCCAAGACGTTCACTACAATAAAAAAAGACTGAATAAAAAATAATTAGTTATTTTAATAAGCGTTGAGTGGCCTTTTTACTATACTTAGTGCGATTTTTAACGGAAATCTATTGTACTGCCGTAGATGTGATACTTATTGAATACATATTAAATACATGTGTAATTTTAATTGGTTTTTTATTTCTACCAACCGAGATTACGGTCTAAATTAAGATACTGTGAACTACTTTTTTCCCATAATAGCTATTTATGTTACTAATATATTTTATTCAAGAAATCGATATGGTGTAAGCTTTAAAGTCATCAAGTCATATACGAGTAAATATGTATATAGAGTTGCCAGACGTCACGCTTTTGAAAAAAATGCCACTCTTTTTATGAAAATACAGCGCTTTTCAATATTCAAAGCCGTAAATAAAAAGGAGAATGGTTTTATAGAAGAACTTTTTTTTATAAATTTATAAATATCGGCTAAAGGCTCTCGTTAATGAAAACTAGAAAAATACAAGCTGCTGAGGACTTTTTTTTAGAAATTTCACAACTGATTATACATATAAAAATCCCTGATATTTGAACCTGGTGCTCTGTGGTCACGGTTGTCACTTTCGTAAACTTTTCAATTCTATATATACAGGGTAACCAGACGAAAACATACCAGAGCCATCATTATGTTTGATTACAAGGTAAGATCTTTCTATCATATAGTTAACTGTCATAAGTTATTCAAAACCCCTTGATTAGTAATAGATTTGTGTTACAAAAAATCACTCATTAGTAGTTTAAGTTAGTATTTATAGTTAGAAATATATTGTTTAGTATACTGTGACTGTGTGGTCTAATGAAAAGTATCCACCACTTTTCTTGGTTCCGTTGGAAAATAAAAATGATTGTCGAAAAATTTAAATATTTAGAATGTTATATAAAGGTGGAGAGTATTTAATAAACTTATCATCGAGATTATGACACATAAAATTTAAGGAACTGTATTATATACAGAGTGATCCAATGAAAATTATCCACCTTTTTTCTTGGTTTCTTCAGATTTAAAGAAGAAATGCTTGAACACGTTGATTTTTGTTTGGAGGGGAACACATTTTTTTCCTAATTGCATCATTGACACACACCCTCGAGCAGTGGGGCGAACAACTCCTATAATTTAGATAAGTAAATTACTAAGTGTGGCACATTTTTGAAAAGGTAATTTTATAAGAAATTCAGTAATGCGTCAAATCCTGATATTAGCGCTTTCTAGTATTTATAGTTAGAAATATATTGTTTGATATACATTTAATTAATAAAAAGATATTTGTCAAAGTATGAAGTCTTTTTTCTTTGAAATCTAGAATATTTAACATAATTTTTGCTCCATATATTTCCAAAATATGTCCACCATGAGTGGTTTAATCTTAGCGCAAATTAACATTGTTTGTTACTGGAAATCTGTACAGCATTGGACTGCTTTACCACTCTATTAAAATAGAAATGATTGTTTTTCTAAGAATCTATTCATTAATCGTTCCTAGAAGTGTTGGATTTTGCCGACATGCTGTCTGTCTTTGGCATTGACAAAGTTGTTTCTATGAAATGCCGCCTTATTCGTTGACAAGTTCACAATTATAGTTTTCTAGAATTCACGTTCTATATGAAAATATGATTCAATAATTTTAATGAAATGTGGTTTAAAAAAAAAACTTTATTTTCGATATAAAGTATTTACAAAAATAATTTATTTTGTAGTTTTATTTTATTTGACTGTCCCTCCAAATGTTTATCCAATTTCTTCTTTCCTTAATTTAGCTTTACCTCAGGAGAAGAAGAGTGGGTTGGAGGCTGTCAAACTACGATATATAGTACTTCTAGTCAATAATAATAGACAAAGAAAAAATTAAACAAAAAAAATTACTAGTGCTCACACAGCAATGGTGTAGCGTGTAGGGGGCCAGGGGGGGCACTGGCCCCGTCCGGCCTTTGTGTTTAGAGCATCTTGTAGCAAAATTCCCTAGTTAGTTACTGTGTTACCAAAAATTAATCATATCCATGTCAACCAATAAATAATCAAAGTTGAACTAAAACCTTGTGAGGAATTTTTGATATTTGTGATTTTTTACATGTATTTATAGTCCCTGGTTTGGGTATGTATTCTAAATTATTGTATAATTTATTTTGTGTTCATATGTATGTTTTTTAGTTTAATAAATTCGTCAACACACTAACCTGGGTCTAAAATATCCATAAACGCTCTGAGATCGATAGTCTTCGAACCCCTTATCTTGTTACAATCTTTGGCGCCCCTCACAGAGGTTTGAGCGTCCCAAAAAAACTTCGCTTCCTCCATTCTTTGGCCTACGTTACGCCACTGTTGCGATTATATCGCCTAGCTTAGACAGATTCCCATTCAAACATTTTTATTCAAGTGACTTTTTATAATGTGTATCAATAATTTTTATAACTATTTTATATTCTAATTCAAAACAATTTGAAAAATAAAAAATGGCTTATCTTTTAGTAATATAGGAAATATATACAAACACCTCAAAAAACCAAATTATTTAAATATTAATAATAATTGATTCATTACCAATATTAACTTTCTTATTTTTCGCTTTTCTTTTCCTAATATTCACTTTCTTCTTCATATAAATCGTTTCTCTGTTGGGCATATTGTAAATAAATGTCCCAACCATTATCACCATAGATGATTTGAGTTTTTTTTAGGACCTTTGTCTTTTATTTTGAACAATTATTAACTAAATAAAAATAATAGATCATCATTTTATTAATCACAAATGCCGATTTTCAGATATAGATTCAATATAAACGTTTTTCTTATAACGAAATCAGATTGCATAAAAGAGAGGAAATTACACATTTCTATTGAAAAAAATTAACATGATATATTCCCACGATGAAAAAACAGGCAGGTATAAACTATAAATACGAATCGATTAGACTAACAAACCATCTACCATCGACTATCTACGTCAAGATTTCCGACGTTAATCTATTTTTGTATTATTATTAATTATGTTAGTTACAAAGTTACTGCCTGTTATTTCCTGTGCGCGTACAGGGCTGTCTGGCGGACGCTTGCTCAACCAGACAAATTGTATTTTGAACAAAAACTGTTTTTAGTATCTTTAAAATTATGTATGTATACCGAGTGACGATGAATTACTAGAGAGTTTTCTGGGGAAAGCAGTTTAAAAAACATTACTTATCTAATGAACAGTGGATAATAAATAATCAAAATACATACATTTTTGAAAAGGTATAATATAATATAATATAATATAATATAATAATGTTAAAAAAACAAACGATAGTTTAATAATTCGACTGCCACATAATATTATTTAATATTTTTTAATTTCATATCAATAAAACAATTAATTTGACAGAATTGTCGCTCTAGAGTTCCAACATCTGACGTAGAGGGCGTATCTGATCAGCAAATAAAATAGTTAGTTGAATTATTATTTCAATAGATGTCAAGCGCGATTGCCTCCAATAACTTTTACATGGCGATTACCTTACTATAGTCCTTTATACAATGACTCAGCTTTAATTCAGCTTCTTGGCAACCTGGGTTACCCTCATCCCTCACCTGACTTCAAGTAATGGCAACTGATTGGGGTCTAGCATCAGGAAAGTAAAAATATTGTTCTCTGAATAACAAGAAATATTTAACTCCGTCCCTGCCTCCGCAAGCATTTATCGAATCGGATGCATGTGATAGAAATCATTATAATGCTTGTAAAGACTACAGGATGTCAAAGTTTTACCAAGACACCTTTTTAACTCGTCATTAAGCATTTTAATAAATTTTTTGTGACTTTATTTCTATATACAAATTTATACATTTTTTCGACGAATCTTTATATTTTTGTATCTCTTGAATCAAATTTGGCCATTTTCACGATGTTTGCCTGTGTGGGTTGCATATGTTGTAGGTGTAGGGATTTTCGTTTGTGTGGGGACACATTTACAATTGTGGGGACATACACATATCCCTACAACTTTTTTTACATCATATTCGTTTATAGGATCATGTTACATTAGAAAAACCTATAAACAACTTACTACTTCCAATATTTACTAGTCTAAAACTATTAATTTTACTAAAATATCAGTTACTTTGATATTAAAGCGGGGAGGGATTAAGAGGCGCCCCTAAAAATTATATATTTCATTTAATATTAATTTGAAAGATTCGTGTGCAAGCTAATCTCAATACTTTTACTATTATGAGGACACAAAATTATTAATGTAGTATTCAGTATGGTTGTTTGCTATTATCTTTTATAGTAGGCAGCACATGCAAACGATACTTTTTATAATTTTCAAGGGTTGAAATTCACTCATAAGGGGGTAATTTAGTATTATTATTATTATATTATCAAACTAAATCGTCTAAAAAATGTTCCTTTTAGTAAACCAAACTCAATATTTAATATGTCTATATATTTTTCTAAAATTTCGTTTTCGAATGCATTTTGCAAATCCTAACACATAAACAAAATAGGTCATGTTATTGTTATTTTTAAGAGGTATTAATTTAAATTGCAGTTTAGATCAACTAAACGTAGTTTAGAAACTAAAATCAGAGGTTAATAATTCAGAAAAAGACACTTTTTAATAATTCTGAATCGGTAAAATTAAAAAAATATTTTGTACACTTCCTTTTAAGTTAATAAAATCATTACGGAAATCTTTAAAATCAATAATATGCCATCCGAGTCGATGGGTTGCAAAAGGATGCAACATGAATAGAACGGAAGTTGAGTTTCCAGACATCGGCGCCCCAACGGAAGTCGATTTTATGAGATAAAAAAAAATAAATGAGGTTCTCGCTTTAGAATCTTGCAATTTCAGTGAGAACCGAATCTGTTTTAAATTTAGATGAATTATTGCTGGTGTATATTTATGAATGAGGCATTAGAATTAGAACTAAATAGTCAGAATGGAAAAAAATTGACACCAGAGGCGTCGGAATCACGGGGGCTATAGGTGAACTTTTATGTGAAAATAAAAA